TTATTTTGAACAGTTATATAAATGTTAAAGATTCGATTTACTAACTGAAAAAAGGGAGAGAAAGAGAGAGATAGAGTTGAAGCTTTTTCAATGTAAACATGTTTTTATCATAGGCAGACCGATTCGTCTTAGCTGTTCAAGAATCTATGTGTGATATATATTTATATATCTCATAGATACACATTGCGCAACATAACTGTAATACCCATTTAAGACCCTTATTATAGTGTGTATCTAATGGAAATGCTGGTTATGAAATGTTTTCAAGTCAATCTGGCATTTGGCCCATGTCATGAAATGCATAACACCACAGCAATATACACACACACACACACGCACACGCACAACTATTGCAAATGAAACACATTTGACAATTGCACACGTCAATCAAATGAGTTGAACCAAAAAAAAGGTCCAATTGGAATTGAAGCAAGTCTTCCACAAATTATGGAGTAAATGATGTATTGAAGTAGTCAACGCTCGCTGCTGCCACTGCTGCTGCTGCTGGCCCAAATTTATTTATAAAAAAATGGCAACAGTGAATAAAGCTGTTTCGCAGGTAATTTTTTTTTACTTATTTTTCTTTTGGGCCCACATCGAGCACGAGTTTGACTTGGACTTGGCACAATGTCCAGTTGTGGTCAGTTATTTTTGATTTTATTTCGTTGAGTGTATGAGGCTTGCATAATGCCTACCTCTTTTTCCTATGGTATATGTGTGTGTGTGTGTGTGTGTGTGTGAACTCTCTGTTGCTATTGTTGATCGGAACAAAAATTACAATTCAATTAATTCGCCTTCTGAGCTATGGACACATTTCTATGCACACAGATACGTACTGCACTGTGCGTGTGTGTGTGTGTATTTATGGTATTTACTGTTGTAAAATGTCGCTTAGCTTGACATAACCTCAAAGCCAACTATGTCAGTCAAGAAGGCAGCTTAACCCAGTCAATCAACCCCCAAAAATGCAAACAGCTGATGCCACAAAATTGTGTGTGACGCACTTGGTTTGCTGTTGCCGCCGTTAGTGGCGCGTGGGTGGTGCTTGTCGACTGTCGATTGTTGTTGTTGTTGTTTTTGGTTATTCATCTTCTTCTTTTTCGTGGCTGCGTGGCAAACAAATTTGTGCGTAGGCGAGGTTCACAGGCTGAACCCACGCCCTGGGCCAACGACGTCATTCAACCCTCGTTGTCGCTCGGCAAGCGAAAGTGGATTCGTTGGGTAATCTTTGACGCCCGGTGGGTGCTCAAACTTTTGTTGAAGTATCCCCTTGCAAAATACACACGCCTTCGCCTCCTCGACTTTCCGCAATGTGTTCGGAAAGTGTCATAGCTCCTATGGCCCTCAAACGTCTGACCTCAAGAGCCTCTTTAGTAGCCAAAGCGTCAACGAAACTAGTTTTTGGCTACCTCGACTCTGTCTTCCCTTCGTCAAATATCAGCTCTGACTCTCTTCCCCTCCTTTTCTCTATCTTTCTCTCTCTCTCTGTCTCTGTTTGCATTTGTGTGTATTGGCAGATTGATGTCAGCTCGATATTAATAGTCGATGCTACGCTCTTTAATATGTCAAGGGATATTGACTGTGGCAGTGCCAAGAGCTCATTCAACTGAAATATGGATTAACAATCAATCAATAGCAACAATCGAGCGTTTTAGTATTAACTTTTTGGTTTTCATTTAAATTTGATAAATCGATTAATTATCGATAAAATGATAAATCAAATATATGCACTTAGTTTTTTGAGTTTGATCAAATTAAGAAATGTTTTCTTTTCAGATTGAAGAAATCGATTAACTATCGATAAGTGAATAACAAGTGTAATTGACAATTTATTAATCTCTACTTTTAAATGAATTGTTAAGTGTCGCACGTTTGATATGAGATTATCAGGAAAGTATCAGTTATCGATTGAGTTCGTGTAAATCGATAAACTAAGTTTTCAGTGTCAACTGTGCATCAAAATTATGTTATCGTTATCGATCACGCCTCAAATAAATGTCTTTTCAGATGTTTGATGAAGCTAACAAATATGATCTTATCATATTCTGTGAAATTTCCACATAAATTTTTCTGTTTTCGCCCCTAAAATGCAAATACGAGACGCATTCCATAAATCAGGAGACTTATCTTTCTTTTTGCGAATTTCTATAAGGAACAAATATTTATTTGTTTATATTTATATAATAACAAAAGTATTATAAGAAGAAACACTTCCGCTTGTAGCATAATCGCTTTCAGAGGTAATTATCGTATTCACATTGTCGCTGATATTTCATCATCAACGTCTTCTTCTTGCTTTTCTTCTTCTGATTCTGCTACTTCTTTAGTATTTGCTAATCGTGCTTTATCTGGGCCATTTACGATCTATTTGGCTACGCATCGGCCGTTCCGAAGTAAAAAGTTTAAGCCAAAACTCGTAAATAAACTTGACTAAACAAATTCAACGAATACAGAAATACAGAAAAACATTTTTAAAAAAAACCTTTTGCCTGCTTATCTACAGAAAATGATAAAAAAAAAACAAAGAAAATGAAAAAACTGCGATAAAAACTGACACAAAAAGCTGTCCCAGAAGTTGAGACTAAACGAAAAAAACCCAAAACTTAACAAACGCAACTTTTTAGCCAAGAAAAATCGAAGGCGAACGAAAATTCTGTTTGCATGGAAGAAACGCTCCAAAAATGCGTTGATAAGCAACGACCCATAAAAAAAGAAAAAGAAGCGTGCTCTCGTCGGGAATGCCCGACTTGCCGATGCCCTAAGGCTTCCATATTCGTTCGAGCACAGGTGTAAATCAATTTAAAAAATATGACTGATCTGTTCATTAGCCATCCGCTTTAATGATCTTAACGATATAGTTTTTGTACTATGTATAATAGCGGATTGTGATGAGTTATCCAACTATATTGTTGGGATTTCGGGAACCTAGAACATACATAGAAACTAAGTGAAAAGTGTTTTCAGTTATATTTTCAAGTAGGACAATTTAAAGTATATCTGTTTGTCAGTTATAAGAGCGAAAAGTAAAATAAATAAAATATTGTTTATACTCATTCAGCGCTTAGCGTAATTAACATTTAACGCACAGCTGTTTAATATAATTAACAAATGTTACGTACGACAAAAGAGAGCGAGCGAGACACAGTTGTTTCAAAAATGTTTTATTTTTGTTATAAAACAAAATAAAATCAACTAAATATTTTATGTGGAGCTAAAAGTTAACAACAATGTACAAATATTTTATTTTGTTTTCAATTTTTATTTAACAGTCCAAAAATTATTAAAGAACAATGGAATGGGCTAAAATAAATATTTCTTGCATTGGAAATTCTTCAAATGATACTCATATTATAATCAGGAATGATATACACATACTCCAGTTACATATGTATACACGTTTGCATGTATATATATTTCGCACCTGTAGAGTGTGTTTAAAAAATAACAATCGAAATGATATGATAAGCTTTGCAGTTCAAGTTAAGTAAGACAAACCAAAAAGAAAAAAAACTGATACGATTTTCTATATGTATATATATATCTGTTGATATACGTGTGTGTGCATATGTGTGTTTTTATATGCGTGTATGTGTGATTATATTATATTGCGTTTCGTGATTCGGTTGCGCGCTTACGAAATCAACCCATCGATAGCTGATAAAATTGTTTGCCTACGCCATCAGCGTGGTGGTGCTGGTGCGCTTATCAGCAGCTTTAAAGACGCACGAGCTGCAGATAAAGAAGCTAGTCTCTTCATCTATTGTCGGGAAAGACAAAGAGAGAGAGAGAGAAAGGGAGCGAGAGCTTAATGCAGAGCGCAACTGAGGCGAAGCGAACGACCTTCACAGTCAGTCAGTCTGCTTCTTCCTTTATTTTCTAGAGTGCATAGTAAGAGGAATAGAAAGAAGAGCGGAGCAAGTAGATTGACAAGAACAGGCGTCGTCTCAAGTGGCAATGTCGCTCCTTTTGCACGCTCTCTCTCCCTCTGGCTAGCTTGCTATAATTGCAACTGTTAGAATAGTTAAAAATAGGGAGCGAGAGAGACAGAAGGTCAGGAGCAACCGCTAGGAAGTTGCTGCATCTGCTGCGGAAACATAAGCACAACTAAATGTAAAGTAGAAAAAAGCTGGCGAAGCATTTATGCAAATTGGAGTTGGGTAGACGCGACGAGACGATTTTGAATAAAAACCAAATAAAAACTAATGAGCAAACTGCTGCCACTGCCACTGCCACTGCCGATGATGGAACGGAAAGCGGAAAAGGCATAAAGCGAAATGCAAAACAAATTATAATGAAAAACGAGCAAAAATGCAAATCTAGCAGAAAAGGTTGTCCGACTTCGACTTCGACTGCGACGGCTGTCACAGACTAAGGGCGAAAAAGCGAATCAACCAACAATCGTACAAAATGCACGGCGACGGCAACGGCGAAATTAATGCAAAATGAAGCGAGGGGTCAGTCGGCGAAGGCGAAGGCGGCAAACGGGAACAGCTGCTTTGTGGTATTGGTGTTGCTATAGCTGTTGTTGTCGTTGTTTTTATGCGCAAAAGCAAATGCCACAAAGGGCAGGCAAAGACAGGAACAATAATAATAACAACCACAGCAAACAGCGGTGCAAAAGAGTGCCCATTGCAAGTTTTTCAGTGCTTGTGTTTTGTTTGCGTATGTTTGTGTGTGTGAAGTAGAAGCTTGCACACACACACATATACAGATATCCGACTGCGCACAGAAAAATACAAAAACAAGTTTTAAGCTCGCTGCTGCGGCGCCTGCGCAGAAGATTTCAGTTTTTAAGCAACAAAAAAAAGGAAAAAGACAAAAAAAAAACAACTGACTAGTGACTGACTTTCTTTAAGCATTTTTGTGCTTGTCGCTTGCTGGACATGTTGCAGACGCAGTTTTCGCTTTTTTGGCAACTTTTTGAGCCGCAACCGCAGTCGCAGCAAACAGAAGAAGAAGCAGAGAAAAAAACACGTTTTGTGCTCCGGTTTCTCACTCACCTGGCAAACGGCGTCTGTTCCACCTCGTAGATCTCGTTGATGTCATGCGACACAAGTAATCCCTTCAAGCGCTCGGCATCAACGTCCAGCAGGCCATCGCCTATGGGAAAGATGCCTTCCTCGGTAAACATGTTTCAAGCTGCAGCTGCTCTCTCCTCTCTCTCTCGCTCTCTCACTCAATACACAAACACTTCTTTCTTTTGCTTTTATTTAGATCTTGTGTCTTTTTCGTTTGGGCTTTTTTGTTGTTTAAGTTAAAATATTTTTTACTTTGGGGTGGGTAGGTGGCAGGGGCGGAGAGAGGCTGTATTGTAGTTGCGGATGCGATGAGACGACGGCGCGAAATTTAAACTGTGACACAAATATGGAACAACATATACAATAAATAAATATGTTTACTAACGAAACAAAACAAAAAGTAAAATAACAAAACGTAATGCGTTAATAATACAAGATCACGGCGCGCGCGCGCTTTTCGCAAAGCTTTGGTCACACTGTACGCAGCAGCAACAGTCGCAATAGCAGGAAAACAGAAGCCGAGAAATTCCAGCGCCCTTTTGAGCTGCGCTGCCGACGTCGTAAATGCAACAGCCTGTGAGTTGAAACGTGACAGCACTAGGGATGCTATGCACTAACAACAACAACAACAGAGACGACGACTACAACGACAACAGTGACGGAAATTTCTTGGCTCTGCGTTTGCTGTTTTTGTACTTTTCGATTTGCGTTTTTTTGTCTTGTGTTTTATTTTCGTTTTCTTGAAATGTTAAGACCATTTAAATTTGAATTAAACGCGCGGCACACGCACAACAAATTTCATACACACACAACACGTTTCACGTTACTTTGTCAATGCTGCGCTGGCTGCTGTATCTGTGTCTGTGTCCATATCTAGGTGTGTATACGTATACGCTCAATGCTAGTTGTGTTGGTGTATACCGTCGTGTTCTGCCAACTTCGGCTGTGGCAGCGCAGCTCACAGCAACTTCTTGCTGCTTTGCTTATGTGTGTGTTCAACTTTGCACAAAAAAAAACTCACATATACAAAAAAATAAACGAAGTAATTAGATGAAATGCTGTTGCATTTAACTAATTCAATTCGCAAGCGAAATATTGAAAATTATATTTGAAGTCGAAGCGCGGTATTATCGGAAGAAAAAAATTATTGTGTTGCAAGCCACATTCGATTTGTTAAATTATCTGAATTTGTACCATAGACAAACATGCATGCAAGCACACACACATAAACAAACAAAAAAATTCACGCGTGGTAATCGGTAGAGTCAGTTAGTAAACGACAGATAACAAAGTCACAAACCCAGCGCACATATAAACCAGGCGACAACGAATTCAATTCACAATTAAGCGCACCGAGCGTCACACGTCCGCCTCGTTCGGCTTTGTTATTGCTTCTGAATTATCGATGACATATTAGTTTTAATGGCGCGTATTATCGATAGAGCTAGTGTGTTAACAGCTGTTAAGCTGCTGTTATGAGATAAGTGCTGTAGTAATTTTGAAATAAATTTAAATAAATAAATGTCAATATTCAGGAAACAATATTTTATTTATTCAGTTACATTTATATATGCGGTGATATGTTGCAAATACATGGCTTATCTTTAAAATTTTTAATTTAACAGAATGCTGTTCAGCTCGAAGTGGCACTGTTATTATTCAGCCGACACTGCGATAACGATACAATTTAACAACGACTGAACGAACGCATGCGTGCCAACCTGCTGCACTTTAGCCGTTCGACTTGACATATATCAACTCTGCCCTTTCAAACAATTGCGCGGGCCCGGCTTGAAATTCAAAAGTCGAAAATTGTGAGAAAAAAGGAAAATAAATAAAAAGGAGAACAAGCTACGAACGCGCTCTACACTTGACGGAATCTTGACACGCAATGGACATTGGGCGCTGATCTAAACATAGCTGCCGCCACTTTAGCGCTTAGGCGCCGCCTATAAATTCTTAATTTAGACATTTGCATTCGCATTATGTTTATACATATATATCTATGTATATCTATATTCATGTTTTATGCTACATGCGCCTGTGTCTGCGTGCTCCACTTGCGCTGCATTTTCATGAGCAACCCCGCCCCCTTGCCACCTCCTGCTGCTCCTCCTCGCCCAAGCGATGCAAAGCAATCGTATTTTTTTTTTGTTTTTGTCATCTTTGCCGTCGCAGCGGAGCGACGACGCTGGCATCCCAGGAATGCATGTGGACCAAAAATAGCCAACCCCAAGTGCAAAAACCTTTTCAGTCAGCCGGATTAGCCGGGCACATTAGTTAGCGTTGCCTCATCTGCGTGCATCTCTATGTATGTATTTCTCTATCTGTATGTATTTATGCATTTTATTAATAGAGAGTCGTACAATTTGCTGCACCTTTGCCCATTAGCCGGCATGTGGACACATCAATATATAAATATATAACATATTATATATAATACACATCTGCACATGGCTGGTGCGCTGAACTCTAAACGCATCGAACTTTGGCCAGCTATAAATAGGATGCAGTGCATCATTTCGAGTTGAATAGCCAATAGCCAACGGCCAATAGCCAATTGCCAATTTCCAAGATTCGACCCAAGCACTGCGAAGTCGTACACAATAATAACAATCGGTAGCTCAATCCGCACAGTAGGTGCATTGGGGTCCATTGGTAGTCGCGCCCTCATCGCCGCTATCTTCGTCATTGCCATCGGCGGCGCCGCCTTCGCCACCGCTGCCGCGGTAATCTTCAATAATGTTCTGAAGCTCCTCTTGGGCATCGGTGAACTCGCGCTCCTCCATGCCCTCGCCGGTATACCAATGCAAATGAGCCTTGCGGCGCAGCATCGAGATGGAGCCATCGAGCAGACGCTGGAATAGCGTTTGTATCGCCGTCGTATTGCCGATGAACGTGGCTGACATCTTCAGGCCACGCGGCGGTATGTCGCAGATGGCCGTCTTGATGTTATTCGGTATCCAATCCACAAAGTTATTGAGGTTCTTGTTGCGGACGCCGGTCATCAGCTGGTCGACCTCGCGCGGCGACATGCGCCCGCGGAAGATGCCAGCGGCCGTCAGCAGCTTGCCCTTGCGCAGGTCGACGGCGCACAGCAGATTGTTGCTGGAGAAGATCTGCTGCACCAGCTCGGAGACGGTGCCCTTGCTGAACTGCTGCTGCTTGCAGGTGACCAGCGGAGCGAAGCCCGGTATGAGGAAGTGTAGACGCGGAAATGGCACCATGTTCACGTAGATCTTGCGCAGTCCAGCATTTAGCTGGCCGGGAAAACGCAAACAGGTGGTTATGCCCGACATGGTGAGGGCCACAATATGGTTGATATGCTCGTGGCCCGACATCTCGATCTTCAAATTTCGATTGCAGATCTGAAAGAGCGCCTCGTTGTCCAAGCAGAAGGTCAAGTGCGAGTTGTTAACCAGCGCCGGTATGCTGAGCAGTGCGTTGTACGGCTCGACAACCACCTGGGACATATTCGGCGAGGGTATGGTCACATAGTTGCAAAGCAAGTTGTCCGGATACTGTTCAACCAGTGCCTCCATTATCAGGGACGTCAGACCCGAGCCGGTGCCGCCGCCGATCGAGTGGAGTAGCTGGAAGCCCTGCAGGGAGTCAACGGACTCCACCTCGCGTCGCGTGTTGTCCAGTACCTGATCGAGAATCGCTGCCCCGTCCGTATGATAGCCACGTGCGAAGTTGTTACCAGCACTCTCGTTGCCAGCAACGAAGTTCTCGGGTCTGTACAGCTGGCTGCTGGCACTCAAGCGCTGCACGGTGCTCGCTTCCGTGTCAATGAGAATGGATCGGGCATAGAAGCGCTTGCTGGCTGTCGCATTGAAGAACACATTGATCCGTTCCAGTTGCAGTTGGCTGGTGCCGCCAAAGCGACCCGACGCATAGTCCACGCCGTGCTCATGCGAGATCACATGCCAGAACTGTGCATGAGTGTGTGTATGTGTGTGTGTGCGCGCGCGTGTGTGTGTGTGTGACTCGGTGGATCAGGCGTATGAGCAACAATTACTCACCGCATCGCCAATGGCATTGCCAGCGCCCCCAATCTGCAGCGTCACAATCTCGCGCATCCCTCTGCCCTCTGCCTTCTGCCCTTCTGCCCTTTGCCCTTTGCCCTCTGCACTCTGACCTCTCGAGCTCCTGCTAGCCCTAGCCTTGCCTAGATTCAATTTTGTATTCGATTTGGCCGAAAGTACTTGTAGATTTGTTTAGTGCCTAATTTAACTCTGTCATCTGCATGCTGTGGCTGCTTCGCGGTGCTTTCCACAGTCTCTCAGATCTTCGAAAAAGGTAAAACAACAAATTTCAAGCGAAGAAAAAACACAAACCCGACTACTTAAGATTGAGGCCAACTACGATCGTTAGACACGCACACACATACGACGTCATCTCCTGGTGACCTCGGATAGCTGGCAACTGCTCGGAGCTCTGCCCTGCCCGCTGAGGAGTCGTTCATCAAGTCTGGCCTGGGGCCAACAGGACCCACTGCCAAAGCGTGAGTCTAGCGAGGCTACCTCGTATACCTATGGCATTCCATCCCTGGCCAAAGATACTTCCGTGCGTTAGGGAGCGCTAAGCGAGAACTGGCTAAAGCAGTTGGCCAAACCAGCAGACTGGAATCGAATTCAGCCAGCAGCAGGCCATAATCATAAGCTCTAATCTAAACCAGAATATGCTCTTAAGCTATGCATAACTCCTTCTCTAATGTCTTCTCTCTGGCTTGGCATAGTCTCGACTGACTAAGCTAATTGAGTAAGCTACACTAGGTTCCTTCTTATTGTCATCCTTGGGAAACCTCTTAAATGTAAATACAGGCTGAAGTGCTTAATAATATGATCTCTAGTTTGTAATATGATCTCTAGTTTGCGCTTAGTCTATCACCTCTTGTACCTGATAAATGAGCAGAGAAAACATATTTTATTATGAAACCTGTTTTGAAAATAGTTTTGGCTTATGCTCGAAATTGTTTTGAAAGAACATTTCAAATTGAAATTGCTCAACTTGAGCAACAGATGCAGGCAGGCGGGGAAGAAGGGGCCGGAAGTGTTCCCATCTCACTGATCGTTCACTTGTTGCATATAAAAAGCACCAAATCGAATCTGGCATGACGCAAAACCAGGAGGCAAATAGAACTTGAGGCATTTCACCCTAGCACACATAACATTTCCAAGCCGTTCCACAACATAGACAACACTAAATATAGTAAATGGTTAACAAAACTGAAGATTGTCATATAGAACACACATTCCATCATTAATACATTATAAATTTGATGTATTCATACAAGTGATACTATATATATATAGAGAGAGCATTCGTTTTCGCATCAGCGACTGCTTTACATCTGTTAAAGTCTCTATTAGTCAGCGAGACATCGTTTATGCTAGCTGATTAGCTATCCTATAACTGCCCCTCTCTCGCTCTTACCTATGTATCTCGGAAACAACACGGTATTTTGAAGTAAAAACTATATTTTAGGGAATTTGTATTTGGGCTCAGCACACTTAGAGCTCAAAGATAGTCCAGCATAGCTCAAAAACTTGACCTAATAGAGCAATGCGATTCGATTTCAGTATTTGGAAACTCTGTGCGCTAAAGTCGATTTCTTGGGTTTCTCTAATCTGTGTGCATAGTCTGCCACGGTTTATCAGTTATATAGCAGCTATAAAATATGGTAAAAAAGCCCTTGACAAGGTTTGGTTCTTGGTTATCAGATTTCAACAAGCTTTGTTAGCCTGTCTAATTTATACATATATGATTCCTGCACTAAGTCCTATGTCCTTTGGCCAGAATGAGATATAATCAACTTAAGCAGAGTCGGAAGCAACGTCTACAAGAGTAGAAGGCGTATATGTATATATAATTCAGATCTTTCGCACTACTCTCTCCATAGACTAATATTAAAGGTAGTGTGCACATTGGTATGTCAATGCCATCGCACAGCTTTATAGTTGCTGTAGTTCTTGTCAGACTACAAAGAAATTAAAGTATAAGGATTAGTGTATTTACTATAATTAATTTAATGAGAATGAAATAAAAACACACAAAAATCGTTGAAAAGCGGCAAATTTTTTAGACAATCAGCGACTGGGTGAGTGACGGCGGCGTTGGCGTCGGGGGCGGTTGAAGCTACTTGTCCTTCTTTTCAGCTGCGAGCGAATTGTAGAGTCGATTCACCTCGTTGGCCACCAGATTGTCGAGAATGATGCCGTTGGCGTCGATGAAGGCGGCACACGACTTGATGCTCGTCTGTTCACGCTGGCCACGCCCATCCCGCACACCGAGTGTTAGCATGTATTTGTCGTCATATTTCTTCATGTCGGAGCTGGCCTCCCAGGTGCGTGACGCCTTGGTGCCGGCATCCTTTTGGACGGCCACAACAAAGGTGCCCTTCTCGCGGAATGTGGTATGAAGCGTGAGAACGCCCATGAGAGCGAAATAGGCCAGCACGCTGAAAAGCAGCACCGGTTTTGATTGGGGAAACGGATGAGTGAAATCCCAGGCATGGGCCATTATGGCAACGCCAACGGCCAGGGCGCAGAGCACTAAGCGAGTGTTGACCAAGCCGAATTGTTCCTTGAGTTGCGGACGGTCGCCCAGCAGGCAAGTCTTCACGGCGTCGTCCAGAGCGTGTTTCACTGCAGATCCATCCCACTTGTTCACCTTAACCAGCTGTAAATCATTTATTGTATACATTAGGCACAGTTGGCGACTGACGTGTTCAATAAATCGAGGCCCAAAGCGAGCCGGTAAACACTGTTTTTAACTTACCTCATCGGCAGCCTGCGTTTTATCGTCCTTCTTGGCCATTATGTTTGTTTTCTTAAATCAATTCCTCTTTACCTTGTCTGGCAAGAAGGAAGTAAATAAAAAAAAACAACTTGTTTTAGCAATTTGACAACGCGACAGATATTGTATGTTTAATGCAGCGTGACCGCATAACCAAATGTATTTTTTAGACTATTTTCATGTTTGGTATTCTTGCAATTCTGTTAAAAACATTTTGTTATCGATAACACAGACAACATGCTTGGGTTTTATTTCGTGACCACGATTGAGCTATACTAGGCCGTGCTAGGTTAGTTTAACAGTGTAACGTCATATTTTCAGCAATTTGTGTGCGACCGTTGATCTTTATTTAAAAATACAGCAGCATCTTTCACTTCGTTAGCTATCTTATGCCCATTCCATGAAATAAAAAAGCAAAGTGCGTGTAATATGTTTAAGTAATTAGATAGATTGACATAAATTACCCATTACTTGTGTAATTCAGTTAAATTTACCTATTGACAATTCTTTGCCACACTATCTATGTTGCTGCTACTGAAAGTACTTACAGTTCTAGCCAGCATCTACTTACTTTTGATTTTAAGGAAATATGTATAAAGAATTGACAATGTTTACTATTAATATTTGCTATTAAATACCTTATTTTGATTGCTTTGGAGCTTTGCTAAAGTGCCCGCCAAACTTCAGACTGGATTACAGAGTACAAACCAAAACTGTTATAACAACAGTCATAACAGTGATATTAACCACATAACCAAAACTAGTATATTTTAGGTTTTTTCATATTTGGTATTTTATATCTCTGATGTCAATTGCAATTAGCTTTCAAATTATTTTTATTTTAAAGTTTTCAATTTCGTCGTTTGTTGTAAAAAAAAGTGTAAATATATATATATTTATAAATAACAGAGTTTGGAGTATGGAATTAGTTTTGTTACATAGACTTCATTTGCGCCATTAGCTCCTCCAAGCTGGTCTCTGGCACACCGGCATCGACAGCAGCTGCATTTTCCGCCTGCTTAACTGTTACTTTGTCGGGCGCATCGTAGGCCAAACGCAAACCGGTAACTACATTTGTTGTGTTCGTCAACTGTTGTTCAACTGGTGTATCCTCGGCCACAAGCTCTATGCCCCAATCGTTGCTGGCATGCACCGGTTCATTGGACACCACCTCATCCTCTTGCTGCTCCTTGGGCTGTGGACGTGCCCGGAATTCTTTCTGGCGCTGCAAACAGAACCGATCATCGCATTCGGTATTCGGCTTTAGCGTCATCTTGGGAAAGAAATCGTTCAGGGCATTGTAGCCCAGATAATCAGAGACTTCGCCAAAATTGAGCAAATATTTGAGAGCATTCTGGACCAGCAATCCGGCCGTAATGCCCATCGTAGTAGGCAGCGATGCGGCGCAGACGCCCTCGCGTTTCAAGGTGCGCTCATCAATGTTCTCGGCGACCACCAAAGGTGGGGCGCACGCAAAACAGGCTGTATCGCCGGGACGTATGAACTGTATGTGACCTGAGACAGCATTTTCCGATACTCCGGACTCAAACCAATTCAAATTGTTCTCATTACAGGCCGCGTTGATGGCCATGCGAGCCTCAAAATTGTCGACACAGCTGAGCACCAGGTCAACGGGCTGACCCTTCTGTATGCCGCACTCTGAGATTGTGGTCAGGAACTTGTCAAAGTTTTCGACGGTGGTAATATTGTAGTTATGCGTCTCGATGCGAACATCTGGATTGATGAAACTCAATGTGCGCGCTGCTGCTTCCACCTTAGACAGGCCAGCCTGGTCAGGTGTAAAGAACAAGCGATTCATATTCGCCAGCTCCACCTTGTCATAGTCGAAGAGAATTAGCTTGCCAATGCCGCAGCTATCAAGTGAAATTTTATTTTTTGTTGCTTAAGTTTTTATTACCATTTCGCTTACCGTGTCAGCATATCGGCTGTTACGCTGCCAACACCACCGACTCCGACAATTGCAACCGCCTTGTCACGTATACGTTCATAGTCCTTAACAATGTTCATGCGCTGCAACGCCATGAGACGGCTGTAGGGATTGGAGTCAACAACTTCGGCGGACATACGTTCGATACGTTCGCGTGCATTGCGTGTGGAAGTCTTTTGCTCTTCAAGCTCTGTTTTCAGTTCGGCAATGATTGCCTGTAATTCATCAATGGCGGTGGACATGGTCAGAATAGAATGGACTCCACAAAAGAAAGAAAACAAAATTAACGCAAGCCCAAAATCCCTAAAAACAATTGACGGCTGTCGTCGTGTCACTTTCGCTGAAACAGCTGTGCGGTATTGCCAGATGGTTTGCACTCTTAACGATTACTATCGATAACGCTTAGAGCTGGGCTTCATGCGTGAAGCGCGAAATGTGAAGTATTAAATTAAATTTCTTAATTTATAATATATCGTGATGTGACCAAAAAATTAATTTAGTCTGCTTTTATAGATTCCATTTCAAAATACCACTTTTCATATTCAACCATGTTTTCATTTTCAACATGTTTTGTAAGTTTTTAATATATTAAGTCTTTCAAGTTACCTATTAATTGATTGCTTAAACAGCGAACTATTTATTTATTTTTTTATGTTTCTATTCGCATTAAGTGAGTTTGTCTTTGATTTCTGAATTTAATTTGTTGCAAAATTTGTATGATTGCGGCATAATTCTGGTGCAGTCCAAAAGCAACTATTGTAATATCCACAGATTTTCACTTTCCTCCATTTCAGTTTGTATTAACAGAAAGCACACATTGTAGCATAGCTCACGGCCATCTCTAGCGTAAAGTGCTGCCCATTCTCTTAAAAAAAAACCCGCAAAACTCGAAAATATTACACCAAATATATTGTCAAAACATTACACATATTATTATTAAATACACAAAAAAAAGGAAATAATTAATATTTGTTGTTGTTGTTTGAGTGTCTGTGTGTGGGTTGTTAAATGCAGCGCTTGAAGATTGCCACGATAAACAAGTTGTTTTGTGTGTGTGTGTGTGTTTGTGTGTTGTGTGTGTGTATTGATATTTTTTTAGCTTGCTTTATATGTATGTATGTATGTAGTATTACTGTATAGACCGGGACTATCACTTGCAAAAAAATATATGCATAAGTTTATGATGCTGCCGTGCTGCCAGCTGTGGTCGCCTGTCCCGGCTGTCGGGGCTGTAGGCGGACACGAAAGCCCTCCTCCCGCTTCAGTATGATGTCCGCCTGCAGCCTGAAGTCCGATTCGCTGAGGTCAGAGTAGACACGATAGTTGCGCATTATGGTCGACAGGAGAATCTTCAGTTTGAGCATAGCATATTTGCGACCTGAGCGAATGTATTGGCTTGGAATTAGTGAAGTGAATCTTGGTGAGGATTCGATTAGTACTCACCCACACAGCTGCGGGGTCCTGCTGAGAAGGGCACAAAGGCGTAGTAGTGTCGATTCGCCTGGCGTTCGGGCAGAAAGTTGTCCGGATCGAAGACATTGGGATTGGCGTAGACCTTGGCATTACGATGCAACAGAATGGTAGCCACGGTGACAGTAGCGCCACGCGGTATGACATAGGGTCCAGAGTTCAGCTGTAGATCCTCTTGGAGTTCGCGAGCTATTAGCGGCACGGGCGGAAACATGCGCAACGTTTCCATCAGGCAGCGTTCCAGATACTTCATTTCCAGCGTATCCTGAAATGTGGCCGGTCGCTGCGAGTCCCCAAAGATGCCATCCAATTCGGCAATCACGCGATCCTGTATGTTCTGATGTATGCCCATTAGCGATAGAAAGAATGAGGATCCGGCGGCCGTAGTGTCATGTCCTTCGAACATAATCGTATCCACTTGCTCTTTGATCTCGGTGTCCGTAATGAGTGCACCATTCTGGGCACTCTCCAGCATTAGATCGAGGAAGGCCAAACGCTTCTTCTCACCAATGTCATTGTCCTCCACATCCAAGTCGTCTTTGAGTCCCGCCGACTGGCCGTAGGAAAGGCCAGCAACAGGAGCGCTTTGCTCCTGCTTGGGTTGGGCCCCTTGGGACAGCTGTTGCTCTCGCTGTTCGCGCAGCTCGCGCTCCTCCTGCTCGAGAGCGGCGGCCTTCAGCTCGCTTTGGGCTAGAGAGCCGCGTGTGCCCTGCTCGAAGGCCGCCTTCTTGCTGCGTATGACCTTTGTGGTGAGGCCGTGAATGATGTTCAGCAGCCGTCCCTGCTCCTTGTAGTAGCGGGTCAGCGTGAAGATGAACTCGTTGCGCAAGAAGATGCTGCGATGCCGGGCATGCAGTATATCGCACATCCTCATCACGGCCATGGCATACTCAAAGCCGGACTTGTCTTGCGTCTTCTTCGATACGCCCATTGCGGTCTCTGTACGCCAGTGGAAGAGAGACGGAAGAGGATTGTATGAGATTGGGCATGAGATTGGAAGTGGAATGCACTCGACTGACCCAAGCGCCAATTGAACTTAACAAACATACAACGGAGCTGCGCCGGTTGACTAATTGTAGATACAATGCATAAATAGCAATCGTTTTAGATGCAACATATGTGCACACACACACACACGCACACGCTCACACACACACACACTTATGTAGGGTCATAATATGCTATATTCCATGTTGCATATTCCACAACGTTGATCTCTGGCCAACGGGGCGTATGAAAATGTTTAAGTTGCAATTTACTTGTTTCGATCAATAGACATATTGTTATTAATGTGTCAGCAATAATTATTAATATTATTAATTAAAATTTTAAATAATATATTTTTATTTATTTCAAGTTCATCTTTGTCTAACATGAATTTAATTTTTATTATTGAGAAATTATTTTATTTGAGTGACTTTAGACTTGTTGTCTTGAACTTATTTCATTTATTTTGTCTTTTTTTAAATTATAAAATATTTTGCATTGAATTAGGCTTGCTTGTTGACCGTGCCCATTACGGCCACACGTGTATAAGAATATGTTTTAATCATGAAGACTATGAATAATAGAAATAACGAAATATTCACAATTATTTGCATGGAATAAGGTGCGATAGTTGACCGTGCCTATTATTACGACCATCAGTGTAGAAGAAAGGCAATGAGATATATTTGAAGATCTTTCATTGCTGTGAGTTGAATATTTGATTTATGTATATATGTAAATATATAAAGTACAAGCGTGTCCCAGAAATAAGAGAAATGGATCGAGATTTGATTGCGAAATTGATCTTGTGGAAAGTGATCATGTTTTATTTATAATATAAGTACTCAATCGTTTTATAAGCCGACTTTTTATGCACGTGGAACAAGGTCAAAATCTGTTATATGTGCTCGAGTCGATTGTGGGCGTGACACATCAGAGAAAGTGTATATTTAAGAGTTACAGATTGAGGATCAACAAACTCTTAGCTTTCTCAACAGATGGAGGCCATATACGACCGAGCAATATTATTTGTTCTTTTAATTACTTTTGCTTATGGTCTTGAGAGCGTTTGAGCTTTATTTTTTGACATGCGTACGGAAATGGGAAATATAATCTAGAATTCTCACAATTTTTGAGTCTAGAAAAATTTTAAAAAAATAAGTAACATTTACTAAAACTTTTCTGACTTACTTTAATTTATTTTAAATGATTTCATTTGAGATGAGTTTCAGTTATCTTTAAAATTTCGATAACTCCTGAAAGATCGATAAGAATTTCGACTGTGGACTATTGACAGTGGAAGTGTCTAGCTGTCTCTCGAGCATTTAGCATTTTATTTTCTAGGCAACTTGCTACGGCATTTTGGCCAAGTTACGTATCGGCTTGGCAACACAAAGTCTGCCTGAGCGCCTTGCGCATTTCTTCCGCTAAAATCTGACAGAAATAATATTGTTGCGTGTGAAATTTGAAAACGACATTGCGCAAGCGTGGAAATGCAGGTTTTCTTGCCACTTGCCATTTTCAGCATTTCACTTGTGGCCCACTGGCCAGAGTTTTGGCCAGCTGGCAGGCAGCTAAAAACTTGTCGCACCTGTTGCAGCTCCTGGGGACTATGATGCCTCGAGGCTGTTATGCAATATTGAAAATGACATTTGAATTTGGCTTTCTTTACTTTTACAGTTGTTCGCTGATGCGTCATAGAGCATGCATATCTATCTGTATACATACGTGTTCGCTGTGTACTATATGAAACACATACATTATTTAGCTCAACAAGAAATAAAAAGAAGGCAAAAAATGATTTGCACACTTTATCAATTTTTTTTAATTTTTTATTTTCACTCTTAATTGCTAATTGCTTGTTTGCGTCAGCCGGACCTGAGCCTGAGGCTGGGTCTGGGTCTGGGCTGGGGCTGTGGCTGGTTTGGGGCTGGGTTGGGGCTGGGTTGGGGCTGGGTTGGGGCTGGGCCTGCGGTCGTTTACGATCTGCAGTTGCATTCAAATTTTCCTGATTAAATGCTTAATGGGAATGCGACGTGATTTTAATTGCAGCGCTTGGGCTTGCCGTGCAGCTCGCTTGGCTGCGAGCTGGCAATTTCCAGTACGAAGCGTACTTTTGGCAGCACTTCAATTATGGGCGAAGGTGAGCGCGTCTGCGTTATGCAATGGCCTAGAAATCAATCGCCAGGCATTACTAACAGACCGACACAGATAAAGACATATATATACATGTATTCCTATAGTACATGGGCGGCAATGTCATTAACATTTAACGCTCGGGCCTGGCTAACTGCCAGAGCCAACTGGACGCGGAGCTGTTTTCACTTTAAAGCCAAAACGGGTTTGGCCTTAAATAAACGACAGGCACTTTTTGGTGGCACAGTTAGCCAGCCCCGCCTATGGCCAGCCACAGCCTGTTAATATAATATCTTATGATATAAGCCAACTTCGGCTCCGAGAAGCATTCGAGCAGCTGCGTTCCGCAGCGCAAGTGAAAGTCGCCAGGGAGACCCGGTGAAGATTTTTTATTAGTAATTTTTATTAGTAAACAGATCTCTCTGATATATTTGGAAAGTAAATGAAATTATAACTGAAGCGCCTAATTGAGCTTTATGCATGATCAGCGAAATAAACAATTTCACAGTCAAAATTTGAATGAGTTTTTGTTCTCAAATTTCAATATTTTTAAATTCATTTTTAATTGAATTAAAAATATGTTCATTTTTCTTGTGTTCAAAAAAAAAAAAACAGAAAAATATAATTTCAAAATAAAAAAATACTTTTAACACATTTAATATTTGGATATAGTAATATATTTGAATATATGTGTGTGATTTTGTTTTCAAATTTCATTATTATTAAATTCATATTCAGCCTCAAGAGTTTTGATATTAATTTTCTGTTTTTACAAAAAATTTAATTTTAACTATGTTTTCCTATTTTATTTTTCTTGTATTTATATAAAAAATATGTAACTTGAAAAAATATATTTAATGAATTAATTTATATAAAAAATAATTTTAAATAAAATAAAAAAAACTAATTATTTAAAAAAATGACTGAATACATGAACGAATACAATTAATATATGAATAAACATTCAATATTTTTGAGTATTATTATATTTTGAGTATTATATTTTGAGCCTTAAAGCCTTCGAAAAAATAAATAAATTTTGCATTTTGAAAAACATTTTTGAAACATTTTTCTAGTATTTAAATAAAAACAGAAAATAATAATTTCAAGGCAAAAATATATATAATATAAAAATATATACTATTACTATTTTATTATATTTAATTATTATTTATTTTAATATTAAATTTGTGTTTTGTTTTAATTTTTTTTAATATTATCCTCAGCAAAAATATAAAGACTTTAAATTGTTAAATTGTTAAAACTTTTTTTTGCACATTTTAAAATTTAAAATATTCATTTTGCTCAATTTATAGGTGATTTATGTATGATTAGTCCTGATATATATATTTATATGTATATACATACATATGTATATATTTATATGTATGTATATTGTGATGCTTGGGGAAATCGGTATATGCCAGTTTATGGCGGCTCATTATTTCAACTATACGGCTTAGCAGTTGGGGTATGTATGTAGGTAAGCATATATATATATATATATCTATATATCTATATATCTATATATATATATATATAAATATATATATGTATATTATATATATCTATATGTATATAGATATATATATATATATATATATATATATATATATATATATATATATATATGTGTGTGTGTGTGTGTGTGGATGTATTTGATATAATTCGGGTCTCGGGTCGCTTCTCTATGCTGTGGCTCATTGTCTACACAGACAAAAGCGGCAAATGGACAACAAAAAACAAAATTTTGATTTGTGCGAGTATATAGGGAAATAGGTCTGTGCTCAATTGCAGTTCATATGTGTATGTATGTGGCACTGGCATGTGTATGTGCTATTATGTCTCTGTGTGTGCACGCACACACGCACACACCAATGCAAAAGAACAAAAAATGAATCGGAATTTGAATGTGAAATGTATAGAAATCCGTAGACTGAGTGCGTGTGAGTGGACTGTACCGTTTAACTAAGTATATGAGTGTCTCTGTGTCTGTGTGTCTGTGTGTGTCACTTACCCAATAGAATCTCCACAGTTGCCTCACTCATGTAATCATGACAATCAAATGTGCGTCCATCCTCCGCACGCAGCTTCCGCACCACATTGCGCGAGTTCTCGTTAAACAATTCAATGAAACTCTTTAAGACATTCAAATGGAATGTGGGTGCGATTAGTTTGCGATGAGCCCGCCATTTTTGACCTGATCGGATAAAGGTATAAAGCAGAGATCGTGTATAAGAACTAAATCAAGCAAAGAACACGAACAAACGAGTAGAAGAACCAAGAGAAACTCAAGAGTCTCCAAGAGATCAAAAGGACATGTGTATATAATGTACAAAAAGTCTCATGAGACATATGTATATAGCTGTGAAATGGATACTCAAGCGCTATATATTATATAACGAACATAAAAAGATAGTAATTAAGATCACAGCCTTAAGCTTAAAGCAAAGCACAAATTCTAACTACGGATAATTTATGATGATAAAGAAAATAATAATTGGTGTAGGCTGATCGCTATAAGAAAGAAGAAGATCTTCACATATTCAATTTGATCATTATATGATAGGCATGAAAAAGTAAAATATAGTGGAAAAGATAGAGAAAGGCAGGGAGCAAGGTTGAAAGAGAGAGAGAGAGAGAGAGAGTTGTTGCAACAGCCAGCTCTATAGAGTTAGATAGAGATGACAATTGCACAACAGATCTTTCTCCTCTCACTCTCACTCTACCTACCTGCCTCCGCTCCCCCACTCTCTCCCTCTCTCTCTGTCTCTCTCTCTCTCTCGGTCTCTTTCTCTGCTGTTCTTCGTTTCGTTTATTTATAGCCGCCATTTGTTCGGCGTTGTTGTGCCAACTGTCAGGCTTACAAATCGTTTTATTAATTTATGATTCCATAAACGCAATTTAAATTGCATTAGCTAGTCGGGAGAGAGTGGCACCGAATCAAGCTAGCCCCTTCCTCTTGGCATACGATGGTCACGTACACACACACACACACGCGCGCACACACACAGACTCACCTGTGCTGATTAGCAGGCCATCGCCCAGCCAAGGCTTGAAGAACTTGTATTCGGATGCTTTGTCAATGTAGACGTGGCTGCTCAGGAGCAGCTCGACGTCGCGCGGATCATAGATGAAGACCACCAGCTTGGGCCCGATCCACATTTTGGCAATGTGCTCAAACGGCGTGCTCTTGCGAATGACTGTTTTGAAAACAGCTGGAAAAACAGGATACAGATTTGGTGTTGACCTGACCATGGTTGACAGAGTGAAATGCATTGAACCTACACGAAGCGGGTCCAATCACATCGAACAGGTGCCCGACAATGGGCAGGCCACGCGGTCCCGGCAGTCGTGCCGCCAGTTTGTACAGATGGGCGCGAGACAGCCGCCAATAGATGTACCAGAGCACCAAGGTGGGCAGCAGCAGCAGATAGAAGACGCTGCTGGGCGAGCCCACAGCGGCATCTTTTTTCAGCACCTCCATTGAGGTGGGGCACACACTCACAACTAGCCAACTAGTCGACACAGGCAAACGCAAAAAAATATATAAAAAAATCAAAAGAAGTGTATGGACACGGACTCAGACTCAGACTCAGACTCAGACTCAGACACACGCACACACACACACACGCACACCCGGGATGCGAGACGCCACAACGGGCACACAGAGCTCGGAGCGTTGGCAACTTGCGTAGGCGGATGCCACGGTAAACGGAGACGAACTCGAAGCGTTGAGCTCAAAACATTTTTTAATGCGCGCCTCGCGATACTTTTTTTTGCTTTTTTTGGTTTTTGCTTCGCTTTTTTTCGTTATTTATTTATCTCTTGTTTTGTTCCGGATGCTGCGGATGCTCGTCGCTGCCTGTCCGCCGCGATACTGATACAATTGCCTGGCAAGCGTCGAGCGATGCGCTTCGGCAGCAGCACAAAATAATAGTAGCAGCAATAATAATAATAGTAATAATAATACTATTATTATTTAAAGCAGAAAACGTACACAGAGACAAAATCACAAAAAAAAAGATATAAAATTATTGAAATGAAATGGAATGGGAAATGGTCGCCCGACGTTGCACGCTCCACGCTCCGCGCTGTGACTAGTGGCTGGTGACTAGCCGCCGCCGCCAGTGCGCCCGACTTTTATAGCCAACAATGTGGCAAGCGGCAAACGAACTGGCAAATTGGCGACTTGGCGAAGTGGCGAATTGGCGAAGTGGCGCCGACCGACAGCCAGCCGCACGGACGGACGCTCGCGCAGTATCCATCAATTTCATTCATTCAAATTGTGGCGCGCGCTTTCCTGCTCTCACTCACTCACCCACCCACTAACAAAAGCTCAGCTGTCCATTTCTGAAAGCTTCATTCAAGTCGCAGTCTCCAGTCTCCATCTCAGTTTCAGGTGCATTTTATCAGAGTTGATTTGCGCTTAGTTTAAGTCTTTTTTATTTTGTTTATTTTGATTTGGACATTTATGCATGATTATTTTTAGTATCTGTTACCTAAAGCTAAACAAAAAAAAAATTATTCATATTTATATGTATATATATTCCATCACTTTTTGCCATAGTAAGTTATGCGAGGCGCGATCAATAAGTTGCCATTTGTTGTGACTAGACTTATGCCCTTGTAGCCTACGAATCTAACCTGGACATCATACAGAGATAACAAAACTTAATTTTAACCTTTACAAATGAAATTTGAGTTGTGTAATCGATGTTTAGTAGGGAGCGTCCGACTAGAAAACACCCTGAAACCTGATATTTTCATATCATTGTAGGCTGCCTAATGAAACTTTCTGACATCTTAATGTACATTCACCCAAAGTCCACGGCTTCTCTATTTGAATTGGAAATATTTTTCAGTATTTGGTGAAGCAAGCGAAAGTATCGAAAATGCTTTTAGTCTGTGCACTCATTACAAGAACTTAAATGTGTCCTGAGCAATAGAATCGATGCTTTGAGAATGAGCTGAAAATATAATTCATAAGGAAATAAATTTATGCTGCAAATATCTGGATATCGCTGTGTTCATAGAGACACATATAGCTTGAATGATTCAGTTCCCAATGCCACGCCTCCTTCTAGCTGTTACAGACCATACCGTTATACGCCGAACTCTTACACTCAATGCTTTCAGGTCAGTCCACAATAATACAAATTTTCGAGTATATAGTTAATGAAGTCGCTTAAGCTAACTCAACCTAACCTGAGCTTCGCTTGAATGCATAACTACACATATATACACATACGGAAACTAGCATACTACTTCTTGATCGGCCCTCGTTTACAATTAATTAGATTTAGAAATTAGCTTATGGAAGTCGTTGGCTGGACAACACTGGACAAGAAGGGCACAGAGCTTACATATTGCTGCCCATTGACAAACACACAACTACACACGCTCACACACCCACGCACACACGCACACACACACGCACACACATACAAATGGAAGCATAACAACAACTATATGGGTATTATGCAAAGCCTAACTAACATAAATACAAAGATCTCTAACATATGATATAGTTGGGGCTTATGTGCCTAGGTCTAAAAGTATGCTACAAGAGCTATCCATGTTGATAGGGGGTTAGACGGACGACTCGTAGATGACGATTTGCAGCACCTTGGGCTTGCTATTCTGCGCCTCCTTCACCTCCTTGAGTATGGCATTCGTGATGGCCTCCAGTGCAGCAATGTCTGAATTGTGCTCGCTCTTCTTGTTGCTGTTCCACTTGGGCATGGAGACCTGTGCGCACATTAAGCATTTATTATTCAACAGCGGTCCATTAGCAGTAGCTGGAGTTGACTTACAGTTAAAACTTTTTGCAGCGTGGTGTAGTCAAGGCCCGTGCCCGCCGTTTCGCCCAGGCGTCGCAGCGTCTCCGCCATTGGACCGGACAGCTCCTGCAAGGAATGGCTTGAGTGCGTTTGCCGGATAGTGGGTCAGTTGGGTGAACACACTTACCTGCAGCTTGGCCCAGCTGGTCGCGTACTGGCGCCGCACCAGCTCAATGATGGTCGATGTTAGCGCCAGTCCAATCAGTATGTAGAGCGTGCACAGCAGCATATAGTTGGGTTTCTCTGAGCAGAGAGACGGAGCGAGGGGAGAGAGAGAAGGTTCGATTAGGCAGGGCAATTAATAACTGACTGCGGCTAACGCACTGGGCACCAGATCACCAAATCCAATCGTTGTCATGGTTATGAAGCAAAAGTAGAAGCCATCAAAGAACGTCCAATCGTCCTCCCAGAGCAGCAACAGCCCAGCCCCAGCGGCCAGATAGACACCCAGAAAGCCAACTGCCAGAATCGCATAGAACCAGGTCTTGCCGATGAAGTTTGTAAACTTTGGCTTCGCTGCAATCGATAAACATGTGTGAAATCGATAATAATCGCAATCGTAATTAAGTGCCGTGCTCAACTTACTTGGCATATGCTTGCCAAACACGGACACAGCGCTGGCAAAGAGTCGACCCCAGTCGGCAATGACCGTCAGTGTGAAGGGTATTCCAATGAGTGCAAAACAAATGCAGAAGACACGACCGCTGGTCGTTACCGGCACTATATTGCCATAGCCTGTAGGAGAAAGCGAGAGGAGAGATGGAGAGAAGATCGATCGCAAATTAAATAGATACAGTTATAGCATTCTACTGGGAGATGCATCTCTACTCAGCCTGATTGGCAGGGCATTTCCTAGTCAGGCACTTACCTATAGTGGTTAACACAGTCGATGAGAAGAACACAGCTTGCAGTATGCTCCAGCGCTCGTAGGGCTCTGGAAAGTCTTTGTCGGCTACGATTAGCAGCCCGCCTTCGGCAGCCTGTTGTACGGCCTATCAAAAGAGGAAGACCACGAATAGATTAGTCATTAAGAATCATGTGTATTTATGACATCTGCTTAGAGCTACAGATATATATTTTGTATGCGAGCTGCCTAATTCAAATACGATCAAAATACTTCAAAATATTCATTAATTAAATTCATTATTGTTTCTTATAACAGATATATAGATAGGTATAGATAAATATAGTATATTACAATATATCTTTACTGAGAGATCTACAAGTGTGTACTACTACTATACAAACAGCAAAGCAGTCTATAGTGTATATAACTATATATACTATAAAATGTAGGCTACGCTTTACTGATCTGAAACTGATCTTAAGAGTATTATAATAACAACGCATAGACTACTTAATGTATTTGTGACTTACTTAGCAGCAAATATCATTCTTCGTATAGATATACATGTATATATATCGTAGTCTGACTGCAGATACTGATTTGATCGAAAGCATCAATGGAATATGCCAAAAAGTATGCAACAGAATTTTGGGTAGAGTTTCTCTTGGACTTACCGCTTCGTATTTGGCCAGTTCGAAGGAGAGCAGCTCATTGAGATTGTTCACCTCGGTGTTGTTCAATATGGTGTTCATGAAGCGCTCCCGCTGCGTCTTGACCACATCCTTCAGCTGTGTGAGGCGCGCCACCTCCGCCGGGCGCTCCAGATGGCGAAAGATCTGCGTCAACAATGTGAAAAATGGGTACCATTGCAAATTGAAAGGCTACGCTGCATTAGCATTTAATTAAAGTGTGCCGCATAATAAATGGATGGCACCGCCAGACGTGGGGGAGGGGGTAGGGTAGACTGCCAAAGAGACGAAGGCAATGGGGGGTCATGAAGTTGGCTTTGATGGCATCACCAGGGCCAGGGCCAGGGCCAGGGCCAGGGCTGTGTGCCTGCCTTAGCAGCTATGTGCAATTTATTGGCATTTGATTGATGGCCAGGCCACTATGCACAAAGCGAATCCACTCAACGTTCTCTTTGTTGTTGTTGTTGTTGTTGTAATTATACCCTGTAACCATTAAACGTAAGCGAAGGGTGCTCAGCAGATCAAATTTAAGCGTATTTTTCGAACAGATGCAAATCTTTGAATATGTAAAAGAAAAGAATAGATCTGTCGGGCAACATTTCAATAAATTTGAATTACATAGAGTTTGCAGATCTATTTTAAGAGAAGTGTTCCAGCTAGCTAGAGGCGTTTGTATATCCATAAGGCAGGCCAAAGGCAGCTCAAATATCTTGCAGCTAACTGAGTGAGGCTAAGAAGAGTATAGCTTTCTCCCCATATGTTCTGCCATCAGTATCATAAATTTGACATGGCAAAATGGACTTTTGTTAGCACTTAAGGCTCAGCTCAAATACTGATTCGGAAAAACATATTGTTAGCTGTAAAATTCTCTCAACATTTTGCTGGTTTATCTGATCTTATCGAACAGCTGACTTAATGAAAATAATTTTCTTATCAGCTTAAATGTTGATCTAAGAGTTTTAAAAGTCGTGCATGAAATATGTTTAGGGTATTTACAAGCCATGCTGAAAGTCTCAATGGCCTTGTCGTTGCAAGCGAGCCTCATTAAGTGAAGTAAGTGGCATTTGCAATAGGTTCATTAACTCTCTCGAGTGGAGCAAATATAATTTTAATGCCAGCTCAGTCAACATGGATGAAACAGTTTAAGTGTAACTGTAATAATGTTTAACTTGTACTGTGTGTACTAAGATACACACTTATAGCTACTATATATATATATATATATATATATACATATATATATAACACTTAGGCTTTTGGCAATTCTATTAAATACTAAGAAATTTTTCGTTATTGATGCGTGCATAAAATATGAATATTTGATGAAGCTTTTCACCTTTATAAGCCAAACAAACAAACAAAAAAAAAGAAAATAGAAAAACAAAAACAACAATAACAACAAAGCATAAAACACAAAATATGCTTTCCATTTTTTTCGCACATCTTGGCAATAAATTTGTTGAAATGTAGTACGGACTCTGCTTGTTTCTTGTTATAAAAATAGTTTTACAAATTGATTTGTGTTTTACTTTCAACAACACCAAAAACAAACAACAGCAAGAACAACAAATATTCATATGTGTACGTATTTACGATATATGTGGCGTCTGCATACATATACAAAGAAACGAATTCGCATTTGAAATTCAATTGAAATGTGTCAGCAATTTCTCTTATTCGCGCCGAGCGACTTATATTAAGTGTTCTCACCCATACCCCAGTCCAGCCCAGCCCAGCCCCTTCACTAACTTCCTTACCTCCCACACCCCCATCCCCCATTCTGCCCTTGCTTGTTGCACTGGGACAGCAGCGGCATCTTTGCATTTTTTCTTGCTAATCCAATAACACTGCACAACAAAATTATGCAAGTCGCACTTAGAAGGCCCCAAGACTCCACCTATTTTCTGCTGCTTTTGTCATATTATTTTTAATTTGTTAAGAAATATAATGGGAATATGTAAATCAATATATATTCAATATCTTAACTAGCTAAAAAGTTTGTTTCTATATTTAACTTTTTACTGATCGAATCGATCGAAATATTATGAACAAAAAAGTTCTTTGGAATCAGAGCTTTATATACATTGTTTATAGAGACTTTTTCTTAAAAATCTTTTGTAAAATGATTGCTCTTTCCTAGGAAATAAAAAAGATTTGTATATCGGAAACATAATGAGCCTTCTGTGAACCACTTTTGGCACTAAATGATATCTGGTTTCAGTTCTAAGATTCATCTATATAAATATATATCCGGCAGGTCACGTAAAAGCCTTCTCTTACACAGCAACAACTCGTTAGTTAGTCTATCATATTAAGTCTTTATTTAAAGGAAAGTAATTTACTCTATTGAGAATGTCATAAGGGAAAGTGAAATTTTTAGTTTTAAAAAGTCATCTTAAAATAATAATTAAGCAAATTCCATTCCATTCCAAAGCAGAAAGAGTAAAAGAGAGATTGTGTAATTCCGAATTGGCAATTAAGCTTGGCTGCTGCTCTGTGCACTTCTTGTGGATGTCCTTGCGCTTGGCTTATGAGAATATTTTGTAATATTTTGCTTGCAGAGATACGCATTTGCGTAATTAGCTTTGGTTCACTCGGCCAAGCGATGGCGACAACTTGTCCAAGTTTCGAAAAGTTATTCACACAGATCTATAAGTTTCTTAAGTGCCAGTCATGGACAAGGACTTCGACATGGACATGGACATGGACAGCACGCAGCAGACAAGGCGTTAAATCAATTTTAGAGCTTGTGACCGGTGCCCCTACTTCAGCTACTCTGCGTACAATGCGGCGTATGCGCAATATTTATAACAATTTCTCTGTTGTCACAGAGTTGTCGGTTATTTCTGTGCTTGCGCATAAATTATAATTATTCGAGATTCATTTTGTATACCCTGAATGTAAATTCCGGGTGAATTGGTTTTGCTCAAATGCTTGCCACAGCCAGAGGTAGGCGTGGTCGAACCCACAAGGTACATTTGTATGCCTGCTCAGGTCCAATAACCAAGTCAAGCAGATCAAGTTCCATGCTGTGGACTAAGAGCATTATTGAACTTTGATCACATTATTTATATCTCTAAAGCTAGAGTCACCATACTGCATTAACTTTCAAGAATAAGTTGTAGACTTCTCATTTATTTTATATATTTGATTCCAAAATTATATTTTTTAGAACAAAGGAAATAAATTTCAGCGGCAAATATAGCCGATATGTGAAAGAGTTTGCATTTCTTGTGATATGAAATATATTCAATAGAATATATAGGCATATTCGGCAACACAGAGTTCTTTAAATAGTTATAAATTGAGTTTGATGTTGTCAGCCTCAACTTTACTTTGTGGCCAGGGTGCTAGAGGTGCTGATTATGATCGTAGAGCCGAGGGTTCGAATCCGAATGGAGACAGATTTTCTTGTTATAGTTGTATTTTTTATCAACATGTTTCAGGGTAATTTTTTTTTTTAATTGTGAGGGTGCGAGTTCAAATCATGGAAATGAAATTTTATTTTTCTATCTAATTTTAAGTCCATGACAATTATATATCATAGCAGCTGCTCGTATGCTTTCAAGCGCAGATCTATTGAGGTTCAGGATACCTCTTAGTCGTGCAAACCTCAATAACGCTTTGCTACTGATTCTAGGAGATTATTATTTAAAGTTAAAATATTTATTTATTGTAAATATTTATTTATTTATTTATTATACAAATGCGTGACTGAGCCAAGGCTCAGAGTAGCTTCTAGTCGACCACATCCGACTAGAGCAGTCATAATCATGTTTTTTCTCCTTAACCCGGACATGCACTATAACTTATTCCTGAACGTATGTAGACTATAAATATATATATATATATATATATATATATATATACATTCGCATGCGTGCATGCAGGGTAGACAAGACTCATAACACCCAGCCAGTGATACAATTGGTAAATTTATGAGCTCCACGCCGGGACAGCCAGAGGAAAGTCCATAACAGCGGCTTTGTCCTTCTTTGCTGAATGGACTTAAAGCACTTGTCAGAGCAAGTGTCAGACCATTTGCACAACATAAATCACATGCCGCACGCAGTGCTCTATGCGCAACAATTGCCAACAACAGCAACAGGGCACAAAGTGCTCTGAAGTCTCACCTGGCTATTTACAGCTACTTAGTGGCTCACCGGGCAGGTGGGCTGTCTGGCAGACTTAACTGGGCGCACAGTGAGTATGCCTGCTTTAGTCAGGCTGACGAGCACTGGGCGTATACTTCATATTGCGTTGTTATTAATTTTCATTTAAGCAATAAGCTGAGGGCAGTTGGTTCATTTGGCTTGTTTTTAATCATAAGCGACAGCAACAACAGCAGCAACAACAGCAATTATCTGCAGCGCAATTTCTCTTCATTTGGAAAAACCAAAATAGAATCCGGTAAATGGTTTCTGCTGCTGTTTCTCCTATAATGATGCGCCGCCCATTTAGCATGCGATTATTCATTTCCGTTGTTGTCTCCGGCTGCGGGCTAAAAGCGCCCAAAAGCAGGCAACACCCTGAAATATATATGACCTATGTGTGTGAGTATGTGTGTGTATGCACATGTGTGTGTGTGCATTTTGTTAAAGGAGCCACTGAGTTCATTATTATCATGCAATATATCAGCATCCATCTTTAGGCATAGGAAATTTTAATAATAAAACGAGAGCAAAGCTTATGGGCTATAATCTATGATGTGATTGGTAAATTATTCTAAATACTATGAGCTCTGAAAAACTGTTTTGATTCTCTCTACATTTTGTAGAAGCACTAAAAACTCTTGCAAAAATATAATCTTAACTTTTCACTCTTTGGCACATATATCCTCATAGCTTGATCATATGTGGCTTACGCAAAGTTTTGTAATAAAATTTTATTTTAGCTTGAATAATATTTTGTAACATCACACACAATCTTAATATGTTTTCTTATTTCGAGCAATTCTTAGAAATAATTTGTGTATTTTGATACACTTAATACAATTTCATACGGATAGTTGCCTTGCAGCTACAAGCTCAGTATAAAACTATATAAATTGATACTTGTATACCCTAAAACTCATTGAAAGGGCGATTCAAGGGTATAATAGCCCATGTCGAAGAGGGCGTGGCCAACCTTAAAAACTATACCTATTC